ACACAGCACGACACATCACGACACACCAGTACACAACACGACATAATACGAATCATCACAACACACTACACATCACAACACGCATGACACAACACATGGCATGACACAGCACAACATTACGCATCACACCACAACACATCACGACATATTACGACACACTCTGACACCGAGGACAAAGAACAGTCCACTTTACTCCGTTATGTTTTAAGCTGTCAGTTCCTCCACCCCCGCCAACTCTTCCCTTGTTCTTGTTGATACACTGCCTGGACAAAATATATGAGAAATAATTTAAAAAAATGTTCAAAATAAAAATGAAAAGGTTTGTTCTGGATATCTGAACAATGGAACGTGCTTGTCTGAGAGTATAACAAAAATTAAATAGGCTAAACGTGTCAGAGTATAACTGGAGAGTATCTGACAAAGACAGTGGACAATAGATTTAAGTTGGGCAAATTTAAATTTAAAAAAGTGTATTGGGAAGTACGGGTTTGGCGAAAGAATTGCAGATGAGTGAAACAAATTCCCAAGTAGCGTTATTGAAGCGAGAATTTTGAGTAGCTTTAAAGCAGTGGTTCCCAAACTGGGGGTAAATTACCCCCAGGGGGTAATTTAACCATTTTTGGGGGGTAATGGAGGGGTGACAGAAAAAAAGTTATGAATTCTGAAAATCAAGAAAACAATGCGGTACCCGGTATGAGGATTATTGTTAACTTTGTCTTAGTATATAAAGTTGTAAAGTAAACCTATTATAAGTAAGTAATAAAGTTAAACCAAATAACAATAAACATCAAAAACTAATATACAGTATTAGAAAAGAAGAAATATATAGCTAAGTGTGTGGAAACCCAAAAGTATTTTGACAAGTATGCTTCAGGACAAAAGTCACTCAGTAGCCCAGATCGACCTGTCCAGTACGCATCACTCACTTCCTGAGGCTGCCTCTATTTCACACTGTCAGTTTTATCTGTGAGCATCAGCCGAGGTAGACATAAGCTGGTATGTATGTGTACTGCCCTGTGCAGTATATAGTTAGTATTTACCCACAGTTACTGTGAATTTGTAGCTATTATTAATTTTATATATAATGTATGTGTGGTTCTTACGTTTTCAATGGTTTTGCTAGGATTAGCAGAGTATGCGAGGCTGTATACGTTCACGTTTAGCCATATATATCAATAATAACAACATTTTGTGAAAGGGGTAACATGCTTTATGTGGCATGTTAAATTGGGTAACAAGCTGAAAAAGTTTGGGAACCACTGCTTTAAAGGGATGATTAAAATGGAACTTGGGAATGTAAACATGCATCTGTAATACCCAGTGTATGCAGCCAGGCAGTAATAAATTACCGGAATATACTAACGAACAACGTCAAAGCAATTAATAGCATTTATAAATTCAAGGCTAAATTTAAGGTACATTTTGCAGGGTTCTTTAAGGTACACTTTGGAGGGCTCTTTAAGGTACACTTTGCAGGGCTCTTTAAGGTACACTTTGCAGGGCTCTTTAAGGTACACTTTGCAGGGCTCTTTAAGGTACACTTTGCAGGGCTCTTTAAGGTACACTTTGCAGGGCTCTTTAAGGTACACTTTGCAGGGCTCTTTAAGGTACACTTTGCAGGGCTCTTTAAGGTACACCAAGCTTCGATTACACGACGGTTAATAAGGCTGCATAACACCTGTTTACCACCAGCCAAAACCATTTTATTCCATAAAACAGGACATGAAGGAAGACCTCGACACATACATATACACTTCACGGTGCGTGAGTGACAGGAAAAGCTGCGGAAAGAGTGGAGAATTATTTGTATATTACGAACATAATATTGAAACACAGGTTAAATTGTAGAACGTGAACTGTCATTCTCTCTAATATGTACATTCCTAATTTATATTCAAGTATTACAGAGTAGTCAATATGTATTGTCACAATATGGATAAATATATTTGTGGAGCATCTGTGGTGTACGATAAACCAGAGACATGCAAAATCTGAGGATAATTTTGATTTATGGATTATACTCCAGGCTAGATCGTGCTGATTTAGTCATTGTGAGGAAATCTTTGTCTCATGAATGAGCGAGCTGTTTCTCTAGACCGTACCGACCTTGTCCAATAACATCACCTACCACTGTACGGTGTTGTTGCTATGTGTTGAATCACAAGGTGATCCAGCATGTGCTGGATTACCTTGTGATGGAGAATTTAATGTTAATATACATGTGGTGTATCAATAGGTGTTGTTATACATGTGGGGGATCATTAAATATTGTTACACATGTGGAGGATAACTAAGTGTTGCTACACATGTGGTAGATTATAGACCTAGAGCAGCGTCAGGTGTACAGACGCTAGTGTTGACACACTATTGGAGGTATGACATGCAAAGGGAGGTATAAGGCGCAGAGGGAGGAATGACACACTGAGGGAGTGATGGCACACTGAGCGAAGGATGACACACTGTGGGAGGGACAACAAACTTTGGGAGGAAGAGAATGTAAAGTATTACTTTGTTTTTTTTAAACAAAAGTTTATGAAACATTGTCAGAAAGGAACGAGCCTGAAGAAAGTAGAACAGTACAGACAGGAACTAGCAGGTAATCCATTATCCACCATAATCAAATGTGCCAAGTTCAGCATATATATGGAGAAAGTAAGCTGTTGTTACTGCTAGACTAAGGCTAGGATATAAGTCTCTCTGGCAGTATGGTCTGTATGGAGATGTCAGTGGCATAAAATGCGAAGTGTGTGAATAGAGACAGAGCCAAACACTGGAGCATTTTATCATAGTGTCCTAATATCCAGCTTTCAGAGACACTTCCATGCGAACCTTACAGGATATGGCAAAACGCCTCATTGTTAATAATAAGATATTTGAAATCTTAAAGTTGTATCTATATTTTGCATCGACTAGATGAATAAATTGTCTTCATAGAAGACTACAACCCATTTATGACCAAATTTTTTTTATTGGTAATAAGACAGAAATTTCTGAGACTATTTCTTACTGTAATGTGTACAACAACTATATGCAGTAATTATAAAATACAAAATTACTAAAATTCCTTCCTAGTTATGTTACAATGCTCAGTGGAAGCGGAATAACACATACTGACGAAGGGATGAGACACCCATAGGGATGGATAACACACTGAGGGATGACACACACACACACCAAGGGAGAGATGACACACCGAGGGAGGGATGACACCTCACTGTTGGTACCTGGCGGGTTGCGTCACCAGGCCAGACACTGCTGCCTTCCAGTCTTTATGCATTCATGAGAGACCTTAAACCTCTAATTGTTACACAGCGCCTCTGGAGTGGAAGGCAGAGGAAGAACGTAAGTACTAAGTTTATATTTAGGTTTGTTTGTGTGCATAACATGCCTATAATTATTGTTTTTTACAATAGTTTTGAGGGCACACATATGTTATGGGCAGATAAAAGTGCATTAGGTATATTTTCCCTAGGATAACACAGTAAAGTTAAACAACGGGATTGATTTCCACTGGGGTAGTCAGTGTTGATGCGAGGAAGGGGAGGATATCTCCAATTTCTTGGGACAAGATCCCTTCACCAGCATGAAGGCGTCCCCTTGAAGGGTGACGTGGAGTGATTGCTTTCGGAGTGGTAGTATTACCGATCTGTGGAATGATGAGTTGCTTCACAGGTGAGGTACTTGACACCCTGATCGTCATACATACACAGTACGGTGATGCATACATGATGGTGTGTAATATATACCCGGTACCGTAATATACACATGGTATCGTGATACATAAACGGTGCCTTGAAACAAACTCGGTTACCTGGAGTAGCTTCCTATGGTCACCGCCCCTGCGGCCCGGTCCCAGACCAGACCTTGTTGTTGGCATGATCGTTCAAGTTGTTGATACCTGCTGCCCACACTCCTTCGTATGCACTACTTTCGGGCTGATAAGGAACTGTTTTGAGGAATCTGTCGAGTTCCGTCTTGCTGACACCTAGGTGTCTGTTGGTAATCCTTCTTATGCATGAAGGGAAGGTGTTAAAGAGTCGTGAATGAGTTTTCCTCTCAATGTTCTTACCGCTCCTCTGTTTTTCATTGGAGGTGTCCTGCACCCTCTGTCATGCCTCTTATGTTCAGATGTAGTAATTTTGGTGTGTAGATTTGGGACCAGTCCCACAAGTATCTTCACTCACCTGCGTCCAAGGGACTTAAAGTGCTTCCAGTAATTTAGGTGGATGACTGAATTCGTGAGAGCTGTGAAGACTCTCTGATCAGCCGGGCTGTGGCTCGTACGTTGGCTTGCGTGCAGCCAGCAGCAACAGCCTGGTTGATCAGGCTCTGATCCACCAGGAGGCCTGGTCCCAGACCGGGCCGCGGGGGCGTTGACCCGCGGAACTCTCTCCAGGTAAACATTTTCCAGCTCAGCAATTTCGACTGCCTTGAAGGGAGAGGGGGCGTTACCTGGAGTTTACCTGGAGTGAGTTCCGGGGGTCAACGCCCCCGCGGCCCGGTCTGTGACCAGGCCTCCTTAGGTCAGTGTCCCAGGATGCGACCCACACCAGTCGACTAACACCCAGGTACCCATTTTACTGATGGGGAACATAGACAACAGGTGGAAAGAAATACGTCCAATGTTTCTACTCTGGCTGGGAATCGAACCCAGGCCCTCACCGTGTGAAGCGAGAGCGTTAACCACCAGGCCACCAGAGCCACAGCAATATTCCAGCCTAGAGAGAACGAGTGATATGAAAAGTATCATCATGGTACGGTGGTACATACCCTGTACCATAATATATTCATGGTGACCGAGATATATACCGTGATAATTACAGATAAGTACAAAACCGTTTCCAGATTCTTTTCACACACTAATGCATTGGGTTACTGTAAGACCGTAGACTATCTTAGGTGCTTGGGAATGGTATTAACGCAATGGGTTGTGGTGGTGAGGGGACTGTGGTGGAAGTGGTGCTGGGTGACAGTGTGGATGGTGTGGGAAGAGTAAGGACGGTGGCGCTGGTGGTAGTGGGTAAGGCAGAGGGGTGGCGCAGTAGGGAGGAGAGAGTTTTCCCTGGCCAGTAAGCTCTCAGCAGCAGCACACTGCCAGTCCGCCTCCACGGTACACATCAGTCAATACCAGAATCTGCCGTGTTGCTTCACTCTCAGTCTGCCCCAACACTTATACGGTGATGTGCGTTGTAGTGTCCTCCTGTTGATGTGTACGTCAGCTTACAGTGACCTCCTGTACTGTGTTGTTTATGTTGTAGGTAGACGTGGACAGTGGTAGCTGGTACTGGTTGTTAGTGGACGAATCTGCTTGTTACTGCAGATAAGAGTAGCTGCACTGGTGGAATCTATGTTCACATCCGGCGGCAGTGGTGCTCAAGGTCTCTCACCTCATAAAAAGGCATCTTTTTTGTTATTCCTCAATTACAGTATATCAAATTCGTATATGATTTATTTTATTATAAAATATTTATCTGATTATTCTGGTGCAATATTTACACACACACACACACACACACACACACACACACACACACACACACACACACACACACACACACACACACACACACACATTATATCATTACATATATATTCTATATATATATATATATATATATATATATATATATATAATATATATATATATAAAATAAATAAATATAAAATAAAAGGACAAATTAAGAGGGTGAAGGTATATTACATAGAAGTATATTAACTTGTGTTCTGTGGTTCAGTACGGATGTTGAGACAGTTAAGTGTGCAGAAAAGAGATAAATAGAAATGAGGGGAACCAATGAACTCGGTATCTGGTGAACTTGATAATGGAAAAAGCCAGAGGAAATTGTAGGTGCGAATTTACTTGATGTTGGGAATTCGCATGTGCAGTTTTTTCATTGCGCATTTTGAGTTCGGAAAATATAATATAAATTACGAGTTCATCTTTCTAGTGGAGAAACAGGAGACTTTGTGGATAAAATGAGCAGTTTTCTCTCTGGAAGTGTGATAAGATTCCATTGTTTATCTTGAGTGCAAGAGGAAATGCTGCCAGCAAACCTATATATGGAGTTGCTTAAGAATTTTAGGAAGGTTATTCTTAATCCAATGATTAAAGAATTGTGTGGGACACCTGTAATATGCAACATTCTTCACAGATAAGGATAACAAAAAATGGTTATTCAGGGAAACGGGACTGAAGTGCTCGTTTCGTAAACCCTGTGAGAAGCTTCATCAACTCACTGACGACTAGAACATTTTTCTGTTAAAATGTCTAGCATGCACGAGAAAAGTCTCAACTGTCAAAATTTAGCTGACTCGGTAGACGGTGCAGTCAGTTATGTCTGGGGACATAACTGACTGCAAATAAATGTCTGGGGACATTTTATTATTATAATCATGGGGAAGCGCTAAACCCGTAGGATTATACAGTGCCTGTAAGGAGGGTATGGAAGGTATTCAGTCTTAATTCAGGGAACTGGAGCACAGAACCAGTTCCCTAGATCAAGAACCCCTCACCAGCGTGTGACCTTGTTCATAACATTGTCATAGGAAATTAGAAACCGTGAAGGAACTGGCACGTATAAACACAAGTCACAAGATATAGATACGAACGGGAGACGAAAACTAAGGGAGGTTGGATGTGGGTGTTTGGAAAGAGTGTTGCAGTACTGTAAACATTAAAAATGTTGTCACAGTGTGAGAGATCAACACATCGACGCTAGTATTGGAGACTTTAGGAGCCCTGGTTAGCAGGGAAGTGAATGTAAGACAGCTGTGGCTACTTGATTCCCATACGGCTAATACACTGCTTTGATTTGTATCATGAAGTATAAGTAACAGAAGCTTCATAGTGTTGCTGTAACCTATACATCATTCATAAGAGCTCATTTAGATTATATAATAGAGTTCTTGCTCCCATATTACAAAAATGAAATGGGCATCCACTAGAATGCCGCCATGTTTTGAATGAACAAGTGGCACCCAACTTTTTTCCAAAATTCTCTGGATGTCCTAGCTAAACCATAGCAAATTCACTGATCTAGCTTCTGTAAAAATGAAAGGTCTAAAGCTATCTTTATAACCTCCTCGCTTGGCTTATTTGCCTCTGTGTGTGGGGTATAAATGTTAATACATCCAGTGATTATCTTGTTTATTCCTAGTTGCTCGATCTCTGACCAGGTTTCTAATTTGCATAAGAAATGTTACAAAAATAATATGTTAAGAAACATGAGGTGATATTTCTAAGATATACTTGCCAACATACATATTCATGAAACAGAATCAAATCCTGCTAAAGTGCATGATATTTGACAGACTTACACATTAAACACTTAAATGACAGCGATAGTACTTGACTATGGCTGCTGTCTATCATCCTATAGCTGGTCTTTTTCCTGATAGATGTGCGGGTTGACGCGGGTACTGGCTGTAGCAGCATATCTGGCCGGCGGACCTCTGGCCTCCACCACCACACACACGGCACAACTTACTGGTAAGTTTCATAATTTTTGAGGGGGACTCGATCCCATAACCAGGTCATGACATTCTAAACTGTCAATGATTTCTGAGGATCAAGCCTTTCTCACAGAAAGAGCCATTCTACTTCTTTTCCTCTTGGCCTTTTAGGCTTGTATATATTCTTGTGTTGGTCTGTGGGCTAGGCTACTTGTTCAGTAATAGTGTACTCCTGGATGCTGGGTTTATTAGTCCTGTATGCTAGGTTTGTTAGTTTGTACTGGGTTTGTTTGTCCTGTGTGCTGAGTTTCTTTTAGTTTCAGTCCTCCTAGCTTGAGGGACTGACCACCTTCTACCAAGACTGAGGGACTGAATACCTCATACTGTGTCTACTGTTTTCAGTTTTTTACTGAATAATAATAATAACTGAGAATATAGCTCTGAAGAAGCCTGTTGTGCAAGAGAAAAGTTTAGACAATAAAGATACCCAAGTATTATACATGTCTTATTCATCAACTTGTCCGCCTTATATTCCATCAATAATATGATGAGCTTTGCAACAATGGCTGCCGCTTTTGGTCAGCTCTTGCCCTTATATACCGCCAAAGGGAGATTTGTCATAATGTTCATGACAATGTTTCAACTTGACGTGCTAAGCTTAAGCTTCAGATATATGCAATACCTTTAGGTTTGTCTCTTCCATATCTATATCTACTGTCTGTTTTTATTAAGTGATGTCTATATTAGCATTGCTGCTATTTAATGTGGTATTGAACATTTAATGGTATGTCTGTCCTTCATGTTATCACCTTGGCTGCTGTTGAACATGGTGATGAGCGTATGTCTCTTATATGGGAACTTGCATTACTTACTAGGGATAATATATCCGAATAACGTGTTGCAGAGTGCCGGCTGCAGGAGACTGGCGTCTATGTATCCATTAGTGCCGAGGCGGAGTTCGTAAACAATGGTACTGAGGCCATCCGCTGGCTGGAGGTCAATTGGTATGGCGTGAGCGACTTCCAGGAGGAGGACTGGGTGGGGCTATGGGACCATGACCCCACTGTGTCTCTGGATGATCCCTTAGTTCAACTCCCAGCGTCTAGTGATGACGGTGTTATCAGGACTGATCAGCGCTGGGACGGCAGCCTTATCCCTAGCTCACTGAGGGATACAGCAGACTCCTGCCTGCCGTATTGGGCGGGTTACATACGTGTTGGAACCCTCCTATACTCATCGTGCTTGATGCTGAGACCTCATTGGCTGTCATCTCTGAGGTCACAATTGTCAACAACACGGGTGACTAAAGTTGCACTACCAGGCACTCATGATGCTGGATCTTCTGGCCATTTTGGCTTGGGAATTATTGGAAACGTCGTGGGGCGGTGGACTTTCACGCAGGACGAGAGCCTGTGGCAGCAGCTCGTGCTTGGTGTCCGCTATATGGACATGAGAATCGCTTATTATCCTCAGACAGAGGAGAAATTTTTCGTAAACCACGGCGATGTTCGCATCGCTCCGTTGCAAAGCTATATAGACAACGTTGTCGACTTCATGAAGCAGACTGAAGAAATCGTCATTTTCGATATTCACGGGCTGGAACTCGGATTCGATGGTTATCCTGAACGTCACCAGGAATTGATCACACTACTCGAGTTGAACTTTATGGAGTGGATGGCAACAAAAGACTTGGAGCCTGATCCAACACTGGAAGACCTTTGGGCGAGTGGATCTCGACTGATAGTTACTTACCCGTCTTCTGAGGGATCGCTCTCCCAATACTTGTGGCACAATGTCTATCACCTTTGGGGTAATGTTAACAACCTGAGCGACCTGGAGGTATACCTCTACACTTGTATTCCTCAACAGTCAGATCGTGGGTCCTTATGGTCGGCGATGGCAGAGTTCACCCCCTCGTCGCTAGACGTGGTTGCAAACCGCTGGGGAGGGCTGCGAGGAGCTGCCGCTATCACGAATGCCCCAGTCACTCGATGGTTCCGCCAAGATTGGTGGAACCAAGTAAACATCGTCGCCATGGATTACATCCCTGCCTCCGATGTCGTCTCTGTCGCTGTGGAAGCCAATAAGATCAGAAGCCAATGTGAGGGGAAGATGAATAACACTTTCGACTTGACCCGGCGCTGGTAGTTGGCTACTTCTGCAGCAGTAGATCGAAGCCCCAAGCTCTGTGGAGCATGATCACTGTTATAAGGTGCCATACAAGTTCGTTTATTATTAATGAACACATGTGTTGCTTATTAAATAGACAAAGTCCTTATGTATTATTTTATTTTTTACATACATCTCTTAGTATTCTTTTTCTTTTTTACTTAGGGAAGCTGTATGGCCTGGGGAATTAATTCTCCAGATCATACAGCGCCTGGGGAATTGAGATTTATGGGTGTTCCCGTCAGATTGAATCTGCACAGCGACAATAAATTATGATGTGGCAGAAATGTGGGTATCTTTGACCACGACCCAATTCAAGCTTGGTCATCTTTGAATATGATACGTCAAAGGCAAGCACAGGTCACTATTTCACGAACAAGCTTCCCAAAATTGCCCCTTCACGCAAATACGATAGAAAATTTATGACTAGGCTTATGAGCTTTTTTCTGGGTCTTGACAGTGCTATAGTGATTGTTAAGTACTATATTAAACGGATGTTCTTTCTTAAAAAGCAGTTGAAGAGAGTCCCTGTGCGTGATCTTATTCCAGGAGTTTCTCATGCTGTGACGTACAGTAGTATTTTCCGACTGCTGATAAAATTTTAACGAAAGATGCCAATATTCTGGACGAAAGCATCAGTAATAAACTAGTTATCGAACAACGATATACTGATTTGTGTTTTGGATACTTCCCTCAAGATCCACAAGTAACCGATTACGAACATCCCTTAACAGCTGAGAGCTTTTGTCCAAGACACCAGGGAATCGATTCCAGAAGCTGAGAGACATAATGACACCCAGCAATTACAAATGGGACGCTACGCTCGCCGACCTGCTACAGTCATCATTTTGTACATCCAATGAAACTTATATAACAGCCAGTTATTCTGGCCAACTCTGGGCCATGGTCGAGCATTAATACGCAGACCTTAACTGGTCTACAAGAATAAATGAAGCAATTGTTCGAGAACGTGAGTCTTAGCCATGGTTAGTAAACAATCATCCTTAACCTTGATAGCCTCTAGGTTAATAGTGGACGAGGTCAGTTATAATGTGAAAACACTGCTACGAGTCAGGTGGTGTAACAAGATAAGCATTATCTCGTGTGACTTCTCCTTGTGACCCTTTTCAGTTTAGCGCTTTCTCTGATTGTAATAATAATAATTCTCCTTGTTTGCTATTTACCTAGAGTTCGATATCTAGGCCAACCTGATGATACATTCATATCATTTTTGGTGATAAAATAGTAAATAAAATATATAAATTAAATAATATCTGTTCCTATGTACGTTTGCCATAAGGTGTTTGATAATATTACTGCTATTTAATAATATTATTAGTACTACTACTTCTACTACTACTACTATTACTACTACTACTACTATTACTACTACTACTACTACTTCTACTACTACTACTATTACTACTACTACTACTACTTCTACTATTACTATTACTGCTACTATTCTACTACTACTACTACTACTACTTCTACTACTACTACTACTTCTACTACTACTTCTACTACTACTACTACTACTTCTACTATTACTACTACTATTACTATTACTACTATTACTAATACTTCTACTATTACTACTACTACTATTACTACTACTACTACTTCTACTATTACTATTACTACTATACTACTACTGCTACTACTACTACACTCTACTACTACTCTACACTACTATACTACTACATACTACTACTTCTACTATTACTACTACTACTACTATTACTATACCTACTATTACTACTACTATACTCTACTACTACTACTACTCTACTATTACTACTACTATTACTACTACTACTATCTACTACTATTCTACTCTACTATTACTTAATACTTTACTATTACTACTACTACTACTTCTACTACTACTACTAACTACTTTACTAACTACTACTATTACTACTACTACTACTATTACTACTACTACTATACTACTACTACTACTATACTACTACTACTACTTCTACTACTACTTACTACTACTACTATACTACTATTCTACTCTACTATTATTACTACTACCTATTTACTACTTACTATTACTACTACTCTACTATACTACTTACTACTATTTACTACTACTATATTATACTACTATTCTACTACTACTACTATACTACTACTACTATTATTACATACTACTACTACTACTATACTTTCTACTACTATCTTTACTACTACTACTACTTTACTACTACTACTACTACTATACCTACTACTACTACTCTACTTTACTACTACTACTACTACTATATACTTACTACTACTGTACTACTATTACTAACTACTACTACTATTCTACTATACTACTACTATTACTAACTTTACTACTACTACTACTACTATTACTACTACTACTACTACTACTTCTACTATTACTACTGCTACTACTATTACTACTTCTACTACTACTACTGCTACTACTATTACTACTACTACTACTATTACTACTACTACTACTACTACTACTACTACTACTACTACTACTACTACTACTACTACTACCACCACCACCACCACCACCTTTTACGACTACAGTGAAGGCAGACGATATACTGATACCGACAATATGGATGTAATTAAACAAGCACACACATACATTCAGTATGTATATATGTGTGTATATCGTGTATCAGTTGGCCTTGCCAACTGATACAAGAGAATAAGGAAGCATAAATATCAGGGTTTTTCCATGTAAAAAATGTATACTGTTAACCTGCTGTTAACTTTAATGCATCCTCTTGGGAAATAAAGTTACGTTATTGCTTCTGTTAGTGTTAGGTGTTACAGTGCTATTATAACCATTACTCTTTAACTGTTATTGCTTTTTTTTTATTGCTGATGCTATTGTTACTTCAAGTATTATATGTACTACTGCTGTTATTTCTTTTACTATTTCTTTTATTACTATTAATATTGCTACTATTATATATCCTATTACAATTATTATTACTGGTAGTAATAATATTACAATTCAAGCTGTTGATATTGTAATTACTACTATTATTACTATTACTTCTGTTGATATTGCAACTGTAACAGTGATTATTGAAATTACAGTTACTGTTTGTACCCCTAACAACAAACGTCTAAAAATTATTACTACTGCTCCTCTTACTGTTGCTATTATAATCCCAACTAGTATTACGATTTCTAATGTAACTATTACAATTACTACTACTTGTCTTACAGTGCATTACAAGCACTTCCCAACTCTGATTCCTCACCTTCCATCCTCCTCAAGTATTAACGTTGGTGGTGTCGTACCTCCAGCACCATAAAGGGAACGTTTACTACCCGGATCATCACTTTACGACACTGAACGTGTCGACTCCGCAGTTCACGACCTTCCAATCATCCGATGAGGGTGATTGAAAAGCTATTTTTTTTTTTTCCGAAACTGCTTTCATAAAAAAAATTACGTCCTCTCAGTGCTGCATTTATGGAAAGTCAAATGTCTAAAAAGAGTTATGGGAAAAAGTTTGTATCCTATACAAACTCTTCTCAAGGAGGCTACCTTGATGCTTGTGAAGGGCACTTGATCCAAGAAATTGGAGCTATCTTCACTTTGCATCAATACCGATTATCTTCCATTCCTCGGACGTTATTTGAACTCTACGGATTCATCGCTTCCCCATGGTACAGTTTCTAAAATAAAATTAAATCTTGAGAAAAGGCTGAATGGTTTAGCGTTTTTTTTTGTGGAAATAATAATAATAATAATAATAATAATAATAATATTAATACATTCTGGAAGAAATACATACTGGATAAATTAAATTCACTAGAAAAAATTATTCTTGGAACAGTTACACTATTACATATAAGTTTAACGATTTTTGTGAGAACTGTAGATTATGCTCTTACAACAGTCTCTTCAAAATATACATCGACACCATGCCCAGCCCTTCTAGGGTAGGGTAGGTGCTTGAACCCGAGCTTGCAGCTCATAAGACTGTCATTCCCAATAACCACCTTGTGGCGGGGATGGCAGACCAGAGAGGCCTAACTTCTCCCTACGAGCCCCGTGAGGGCGGGGAATGTGGCTAGGCCTGGGGACAGTTGGTCCCAAAGATGAGGGGGTATTTGTGCCTCCTCCCATGGGAGACTTAGGTCTCAGACACCCTAGACAGGGAGCCAAGGCCGGGCCACCACTTGGAAAAGGCCCGGGCCGGGAGAATACCGGCGAATCTTCAATAATAAATAATCTTCAAAGCACATTTTTTTTTTTTTAAAGATAGACAAGGAGCTGCGTTCTTTGAAATATATCACAGAATATACTACATTGCCTGGAAATAAATGGATAAGGGAGTATTTGGTATCTTCTGAATGACTTAATAAAGTTCTCCAAACAGATATACAACTATAACCATGATTTTTAAAGGGGTGAAGGGGTAAGCCAGCGGAAGGCCTCGGTCAGATAACCAAAAGCTCCAGCTGTGGGTCATCATATGACTAACACCCGTGTCAGGAAACACTTGTCCTGTTTCCTGACAAACCTTATACCTTCTACGTACAGAGCTATGTACAGTTTACCACTTGAATTGAACATTTATGGAAAACCAAATTGCTAGAGAAAGTTCATTCTCTAGCATATAATACATTATCGAAAAGAAATCTTTATTTCAGGAAAAAAATGCGTTTTCCTGGAAATACATTACCATGATATTCAAATCTTGCTTAAATTACATTTCTGAAAAATAACATCTCAGTAAAATTTTCATTTCGAAAAACAAAAAAAATACTGGAAGAATTATATTCCTGGATAAACTCAACTACATCCCTTTAAAGTTACATTTTCTTACATTTCTCATTACTAATACAGCTACTGCTCTTATTACTACTGATATTAGTGATACTACTGCTAGTAATGCTACTACTACTATTACTACTGCTGCTACTATTATTACTGATACTATTATTACTGATGCTATTATTTCTGTCACTGATACTATTTTTCTACCGCTGTTAATATTGCTGCTGCTATTACTACCACTTCTACTATAAAAGCCGTGGTATACTTGTTGCCAGTATACAAAATCAATACATTACAGAGATGTTATCACTGGTCTTCAGCAGCTGTGTGTGCAGACCTGGTGGGGGCGGGAGGTGTGGGCGTGCGAGTTTGGCCAACAGTCAAAGCTTCACCGCACAGGAGCCATAACAAACTTCACTTTAGGCTACTCCAGGTGAGGTTATCAGGTGGTTCGTGTAAAGGTTGTCAGGTGGTTCATGTGCTGTTATCAGGTGGCTCGCGTGAAGTTATCAGGTGGTTCGTGTGAGGTTGCAAAGAGATTCATAAGAGCATAATGCAGGAATATTACAGTGGGTCTTCTGTTTTATGCTAGGCTGGCCCTTCTCAATTGAGGTTGTTGTGTAACGAGGGTAGTTGTGAGGAAGTTTTAGAACATGGTTATAGTAACTATGCATGAGCTGGATGTATATCCACGCTGGTGTTCTACCTAGTGATCCCATAAATTGAATAACAATGTCTTTTTTCCGTTCGTTGTCGTTCAGGTCAACTGGGACGCGGAAGAAATATACGAGGGTGACTGGCTGGGGGTGTTTCCTCAGGATCCACGCCCACCCCACGCCAGACCTCCCCCCACAACGCCCCCAACCACACCCCACCGCTTCTGGCAGATGCCACACCCTCTACACTGGGATACTCCCTACGCCTCCCGCGGCACCATTACTACCAACATTACGTTGCCTAGGATTGAGGTAAAGAGAGATAAGTAAAGTATTAGAGAGTGAGCGTATGTGTCTGTATGTTCTCGCTTATATGTACTCACCTGTCTGTGGCTGCAGGTATTTTAGTCATGCCGCCTGAGCGGCTAATTTATAAGAACATGAGAACATAAGAAAGAAGGAACACTACAACAGGCCTACTGACCCATGCGGAGCAGGTCCATGTCCCCCCCGGATTAGACCAATGACCCCCCTCCCCCGGATTAGCCCAATGACCCACCCAGTCTGATCATCTCCACTCAAGGATGGAGCATTGCACCAGACCCAGCAGCACAAGCTAGTCAGGTCCAACTCACACCCACCCACACCCACTCATGTATTTATCTAACCTATTTTTAAAACTACACAACGTTTTAGCCTGAATAACTGTACTCGGGAGTTTGTTCCACTCATCCACAACGCTATTACCAAACCAGTGCTTTCCTATATCCTTTCTGAATCTGAATTTTTCCAACTTGAAACCATTGCTGCGAGTCCTGTCTTGGCTGGAAATTTTCAGCACGCTATTTACATCCCCTTTATTTATCCCTGTTTTCCATTTATACACCTCGATCATATCCCCCCAATTCTACGCCTTTCGAGAGAGTGCAGATTCAGAGCCCTCAGTACGTCGGACTGCGTGCGGCCAGCAGTAACAGCCTAGTTGATCAGGCCCTGATCCATCGGGAGGCCTGGTCATGGACCGGGCCGCGGGGGCGTTGATCCCCGGAATAACCTCCAGGTAACCTCCAGGTATCCTCATAGGGAAGATTTCTGATACATGGGATCATCTTTGTCACCTCCTCTGTACGTTTTACAGAGCATTTATATCCATTCTGTAATACGGTGACCAGAACTGCGCAGCATAGTCTAAATGAGGCCTAACCAAGGATATATAGAGTTGAAGAACAACCTGAGGACTTCTATTATTTATACTTCTAGATATGAAGTCAAGAATTCTGTTAGCTATATTGCGAACACTAATGCACTGTTGTCTTGGTTTTAAATTACTGCTAACCAGAACTCCTAAATCCTTTTCGCAATCAGTAGTATTAAGATCTACATTATTTAGTTTATATGTGGCATGGTTATTTACCTGTCCAACATTTAGAACTTTGCATTTGTCAATATTAAACTGCATCTGCCACTTCTCCGACCATTGCATGTCTATTCAAATCATCCTGGAGTGCTCTAGTGTCCTCATTAGAATGAATTGGACGGCCTATTTTGGTGTCATCAGCAAATTTGCTTATGTTGCACCATATCCATATCCTGTGAGCGGTAGCGCAAAGGAAAGCAGGATTACAGGGGCCATAATGGATCTTTATCAAACCTCACTGGGCATTGTTATATCACAGATCTTTTTCTAGAAAAAAATCTACAGTATTAAAGCCATACTCTTGGTTGATGTCTATGACACGTGTGCACTGCTTCTGATACTGTCCAACATACACTGTGTTACACATAGACACTGGCCTACGTACACTGTCACACATAGGCATTACCTCTGACACTTCTCTGCTTACACTGTGTCACACAAGAGTAATTTAGCACTGTTTTCGAAAGTAACTCAGTTCTTTTTATCAAGAGCCCTACACCAGCACCAATTACGCTCTTGAACGATGTTCTTCGCATGGTTTCCAACACTGTTATGTTAATAAGAGTGTGACTTATACTTTTCTATATAAGACCAACAATTTGATTTGCTTTATTATCATCTCTTATGTATTGTTGCCTCAGCTTGAGATTCCAATTAATTAAATTTTTTACGTCGTTTCCGCATCCAGCTTGATTATATTCAATATTATACAACCATTATTTCAACAAGCGAGAAAGAATGAGAAGTAAGCCATCGGTTTGGGAAAGCACAGCTATAGATATGTCGCCTGAAGGCCGACTTCGAGAGCTCAGACCTAAGAGATGTATCACAGAGATAAGCCAGGAAAACTTTTTATGCTGGCATGTGGTGGCGTAATTTCTCGATTTGTTATCCAAATCTTCCTGTGATACCTGTCAAAGTTTCAGCTCCTGAAGACGACTTTTGGCCGAAAGAGCTAAAGCTATTTGTTGCCCTGACCCTGTTTCATTGTTCGTGACTCTTTATTATTTACATTATAAATGTAACACTTATTTTTTTTCCATGATTTCTACTTTACTAGGCCTAAATTAATCTGCACTTGCCACATACCCGAAAATTTTACAATCTACTCACAATCATCACTGTCATGTACAATATCTTATCATCACAGCATTGTATCATGATCTAAATAAGGTGTACCAAGCTGACTGACAAGTGTTTTCCCTGCACAGCTGAGTGTCCTGGCTCGGGGTGGGTGTGTTGGAGTCTACGCTGGCTTCATCAGGAACGGTGTGTGTGTAGCAGCTGAGTGCTTGGCTGCGTATCCTTCATGGCTCTTTGATCATAGGTGACCCACTCCAGTATTCTCCTCAAATAATTGTGTATTATTTCCCCATGTATACATTCAATTACACACACACACACACACACACACACACACACACACACACACACACACACACACACACACACACACACACACACACACACACACACACACACAAAGATGTAAGAATTAAGATAACCAACAAAAATAATTATAAAATTTGATACTCTGTATTCATAATTTCCCGAAAATCAAAGAACTCTAGTATTCCACAACTGTACTGACTCATATATTTTTATTACCCTTAAATACAAATGCTTGTGGAATAAAATCGTGAATTTCTGTGATTGTGTTGCAGACAGGTGCTGGGTAATCGCTCCCTCAGGTCCCTGGTCTTACCTGGCACCCACAATGCTGGGTCTTACTCTCTTAAGGACCAAGATGACGTTGTGTCTGCCTGGGTCGTCTGTCAAGACGAGGATATCATCTCCCAACTCCTCTACGGTAACAGGTCAGTCCACTGCTTAATAGCTTAATGACAGGAAGAGAAAAGCTGTCTCAGGGTATGTGTGAACGTTTATGAAAACTGTTGCGAGGAAATGGATTCGAGAAGAATGTGAACCTTATTGAATAAAGTCAGAGTTCTCACAATTTATGAACAGTGGCAGAAGATGGAAGGCAGGTAATATAGTGTGTACTCTGAAGAAAGAAGTGTATGTGTAGGGTTACATGTCAGTACTTGACAGTGTATGTGTCAGTACTCAACAGTATATGTGTCGGTACTCAACAGTGTATATGTCGGTACTCAAAAGTATATGTCGGTACTCAACAGTGTATGTGTCGGTACTCAACGGTGTATGTGTCGGTACTCTACAGTGTACGTGTCGGTACTCAACGGTGTATGTGTCGGTACTCAACAGTCTGTGTGTCAGTACTCAACAGTCTATGTGTCAGTACTCAACAGTGTATGTGTCAGAGTTCTCAACAATTGTGTGTGGGGGGGGGGACAACGAGTGTACGTATCGTTACTCTGAACAGAGAATATATTAATTTAATTCGTTTTATAGTATAACATTTGCATGTACATTAAAAATGTTAAAACAGCATAAGCATAAATCAGGACATTTTGTTAAGACTAATATTTTATATATTTAGTAAAGTTTCCAAACTTTAAAAAATCTTGACTCACGAAATCGTAATGACACGATTGCAAACAAACCATACCACGGGTGGGAATAGAACCCGCGGTCAGGTCATAACACTCCAGACCGACGCGCTAGACACGGCCAGAGGCTAGCGCGTCAATCTGGAGTTTTATGACTCTCTGATCGTGGGTTCTATCCCTGCCCGTGGTATAATTAAAAAATCTTATTTTGTGTTTATTGTAGGATGTAGTATTGTGGTCTGAGCAACCTGAAGGCCTCAATAAAAATCAAACAACCTAATTTTCGGTCAGAGAGAAGGTAGATTTTCAGTTTCGTCAAAATTTTGCTTTGACTTATAACCCGTGATTATATTTGTAATGGATAAATTATGTATAATAGCAGCAGATTGTTATTAATGATATTAAGTTGTTAAGATGGTAGTTAACTAACCATGAAGTTACCAGATTCTTATATTAAAAACATTAAATAAATAAATGGTTCTGGTGCTATGTAACTCGTACAACTTATCAGGAACGGGTGAAGTGTTCGAAATGTTTCCTTACACCTGCTGCCTCTACTCATCTAGCAATAAGTAAGTACTCTTATTGAGAGTTTGACAGCAATGGAAAGCCTTGAAAGTTGGATCACTTGTGAAAAAAATTGCAATAGCGGGGGAAATGCCACAGATCAAATTTACTCTGCTATTTTACTCACATACATATGAGACCATGGGCAGAGTGCAAAGGTTTGAACATTCCATTTTTTAAACCATATTTTTTTCTATATTGCTAGGTACCTGGACCTTCGCGTAGCCTATTACCCCGACACACAAGAACTACTGTGGATCAACCATGACCTTGTACGCTGGCGGCCTTTGCTGGAGGTCCTCACCGGTGTGAGAGGTTTTCTGGCCATATCTCCAGATCCACTTATTATTGATATTCATCGCACACCCGTCGGCTTTGATTTGCCCGAGGCATGCCGCTTCTCTTGTCACTGATGAATGAAACACTTGGGTCCCACTTCCTTCATAACCGCTATGGATCACTAGTTTCCCTAGATCAGATCTGGAAGATAGGGAAGAGGGTTATCTTTACCTTTGCTGACGTTGATGCAGCAGATAATCATGAATGGGTGTGGCCACCTCTGCCACAGGCTTGGGCTAATGCTCAGATACTGGACGACCTCAGGACCTACCTAGACGCTCAGATGAACATGCGGGTTGGATCTCCCAGACTGTGGGCGGCCATGGCTCACCTCACACCAACACTGTGGGACATGATATTACGCTCTCACGTGGGTGTGCGTGGCCTGGCTGACCGTGTCAACTTCTCCATCACTCGGTGGCTGCGTCAGCGATGGGCTCATATGGCCAATATTGTGGCCTCAGATTTCTTTAGGGGAAATAATGTCATTAATGTGGCCATTAGGTAAGAAACGTGATCTTTTGTATGTAAATTTTGGCCCTTAACGTTCCATTTCAGAAATACTGGGTGGATTTGTATATATTGCTACTATGTTATAGACTGGCCCCTTCTAAGACCTTTTTACTCCTATCATTTTTGCAGTATATTTCATATTTTTTTACGAATTTATAAAAGTGAGTTTCAGAAGTCATTATTCCAACTTATGAGCGAATGGGAATCACAATTTTCTATAATACTGTCTGGAGTATCTCCACAATCTGTCGAGACACTTCAGACGGTATAGATTTACCGATCAACTTTTGATGACATTTCCGTTCCGTTATTAAATAGAATTGTGCCACAGGATATTCAAGTTTAAAACAGACGCATTTGTGTGTGTCTTGCGTTTCTTTATAATATTATCCGAGTTACAGAAAAGTTAAATATTAAAATGTAAATTACGGTTGTGGCAGCGCACATGACCGGCCAAGACTGTTTTCCATACCTCTTTTGACATCTCGTAAACGCACATGTTCAAACTTAACCCTATTTACTGTATAAACTTATGACGACGGGTTATATGCGTATTGTTCCAGTCACTGTATTGTGCCTTTTTATTCATTAATTTCTAACTTATATGCAAACTTACTCATACACGACCAATATAAAAAGTCATACATGTTTTATTGATAATTGCAATAATTTTTTTTTCAGAAATCTGTATTACTCATAGTCATAATTTGCATACTTATTTTTTGAAGATTTTTTTTATGCAATACAGAGGCATATATACGTAAATATATGCTATATGTAAAGCGATAAACCCATGTGAGTCAGCACAAGAGGTTCGAACCTCCGCCTGCTAATCATGGGATAGACACACTCCCTAACTCTACTCACTGATATCGTAATAGTTTAGTTACATCTTATAAAGTTGTAAATTGATCTTTAAATGTGATGAATTTGCGAGAAGTACAACTGTATATTCATATCTTACGGCTTCAGCACCAATCATCAGTTTGCCTGAGGGTAAATTGAATTTCATTAAAACAATTTGTGCCAAAGTCAATGGGAATTATATGAAAGCACTAGAGTATATCATTCACCAGTGTTATGAAAAATTTCTAGAGTAAAATTAATTCTGCTATAATTGATGCTGTTAATTTAACCACCACCACCATTACTACTACTACTACGATAAATAGCTATAAAACAATAATAATATTATTATTACTATTATTAGTAGTAGTGTTTTTTTTCTGTGGGCTAGCAACTCAAGGCTCCTACAATTAATTTCCCTTGTATTTTTACATTCGCGACTGCAAAATTTCAGATTGTAATATTAAAATCGTTAATTACTGATGCAATATTGGCTTTGCAGAACCAACTTGGCACTGAGTGTGTGTCGGCCAGCACATCAGAGGACAGTGGCCATTCCAGTGGTGCCAGTAGCACCTCAGAGGCACCCAATCACCTTCAGAAGATCGACAGGGTTCAGGATCGTGTCTGACACAAGGCGTCCAGTGTACTCGGAAATGACACAACCGATGTCTTCGGCCACTACTCTACCTCCACTTTTCAAAAGAATCTATTCCCCAATATCGTCTGAAGAGAACTTACCAAAGACCTCCTCTCTACCTGTGACAGCCACTGTCAATGAAGAAACTAAATATACTTTACACTCGTCTGCTAATTTCACTTGGGAAATGAGAAATGCCTCGGTATCCACTCCCACTGAATTACCCTTATATCCATTAATACGCGTATTCATAGCTTCTACCGTTGGCCCTTCTGTATCAGCAGATAACGCAAATCAGCACGATGGTAACAGGCAGTATAACCATACTAATTATCCGCCTGTGACCACTGAAACTTCCGAAGAAAATATTTATATCAGTGAACCAGAGATGAACATTTACGGTTTAAACGAACGAACTCGAACCGCAGATTCTCAAGGTGCTACAGATCAGATAAACCTTTGGAACGAAACTGTCAGCTATAGCGATGGTGACTATGATAATGCTAGTGACTTGCAAAGTAATGGTGATTGGTATCACAACAACCAAACGACTGATACTAGTAGAAACTCTAAGCTGAAAATTGTCACAGAGAATCACAAAGAATTCAAAAGTTACACAGGGCGTAACCTGACTAATTTTGTTAAAGGTTCTGCGCTGCGAGAGGGCAGTCTCTCCAATGATGCCATTCCAGGCACTGACACGACTACCTCCTCAACTACGAGGGACGAAACGACTACCCCGTCGACTATAAGGGAAGAGACTACCGCCTCGTCATCCACAAAGGCTGAGATGAATACTTCGTCAACCTCAAGGGATGAGGTGACTACCCTGTTGATCACAAATTATGAGATGACTACCTTGTCGACCACGAAGAGTGAGACGACTACCTCATCAACCACAAGGGATGAGATGACTATCTCGTCCATCATAAAGGATGAGTTGACTGCCTTATTAACCACAAGGGATGAGATGAATACCTCGTCGAATAGAAGGGATGAGATGTCTACCTCGTCGACTACAAATATCTTGAATTATCCTCAGGCTTAGGGAGGTAACACGCCTCTCACTGATATTAAGAAATATTTTCTTTTAGTTTCTGCTGACAATAGCATATATCACTTACCTGTAACTCAGTCGCCACGAATTTACTCTAGATTTTTTTTTTTTTTTTTTTTTTTGATACAGTAATAAATTTTTGAACGTTTTACAAACATAATCTCCACAACTCTTCTCAACTCAAATACAAAAAAAAAAAATAATCACTTTTCGGCACAGACTACAGAAAATATTTCAATATAAACCCCAGAAAACTTAAGATAGCAAATACAAATTCCAGAAAAGTTGTTAGCATAGATTTCAAGCCAGTTAACAATACTTAAAAAAAAAATCACTTTTCATAACAGATTTCCTAACATTTCCTAACGCTAAACCAAACCTTGGAACACATTTCATTGATTCAAAAATCATTGAGCACCCAGATAAGCTGTCTTGAACACAAGCGACTCACAATTATCTCTTCTTTGATACAGCAGTAATCAAAGATGTATTGATGAATCTATGACGCTGGAAAGATTATTATTATTATAATCAGGGAGGAAGCGCTAAACCCATAGGATTATACAGCGCCTGTGGAGGAGGGTTGTGGAAGATATTCGGTTTAATTTCAGAACAGGGAGCACAGATCCAATTCCCTTATCAAGAGTCTTTCACCTCATCAAGAACTGCCTTGAGGAGACGCGGAAAGAAATTTGCGACTCGTCCCTAACAGTTTCCAAACACGTTAGAAAGTGAAAACACACCGGAAGATCTTTTTCAGAATATATTTCATCATAAAACTCATCTTTACAAACATTAATCCAAATCTTCATAATTTGCGCCCATCAAGTGAGCAGGAAATTTCATGCCAATGTGACACGATGTAACTGATCATTGCCCATTTTAACATATCCAACTGTGCCCTTAGTTATGTAAGAGTATATTTATTTCAGGCTTGATTATATTTGACCTCGGGCACTTGCACTGGCTTATATTATCATATCAGGTAAAGAATGACCGTAGATGTTAAGATTGGAAAGATTTACCTCTCTTCACACACCGTCAGCGTACGAGTGAATTCTTGCATGCACTTCTCGTGCATGCACGTCAATTTTGGCATCACTTCTCACAAAATGGTTAATAAATGATTTACTGATCTTTAAATGCAAAAATAAATGAGTTCAAAGAAACTCGGTCCAGACACATTGTCGTAATTAACATGTGGAGTCGAGTTTGTGTTTTGAATATTAAATCATCGTCAGGGTAAAATTATTTGTTGACGTGAACTTCAAAGTATGGAGTTCGCAGTTTAATTGGAAAAACAATTGCATTTATGAAAGAATCCCTTATTTTTTTGGCAAAATCAACGTGTCAGATACAACCAGCGTTGAATATTTCTAACCTCTCATATCTATTAAGGCTATTTGACCCTAATCTGTCAAATCTAACACATCCTTATTAAAATTTAACACGTGTGGTCTAACAAAATAAAACCACACTAGTTTAAGTATAATGATTATAATTCTGTCTTACAATACTTTCTAAACCTATTCCAGCTTTAATCCTTATGGCTGATTGGTTTATAAGGTTTAAAGCCTATTACAAAGGGTTATTAAGACTACACATCACCAGACTAAGATTTGTGGTGCTGGTCGTCACTCTTTCAAGATTTAATAAGCATATTCGTAATGAATATAATCATTTATTTTTCTAGCTAACTTTCTTCCTGTACATATTTTTTTTTTTTTTTTGTAAATAATTACCTGTAAGTGACAAGCTTCCAGTTCATCTCTAGTAATAAAACCAATATTGTATTAATAAATATTCCATAACATCGTTTTATTTTTTCAGTCCTGCACATAAAAACAGTAAAGAGTCATTACACATAACAGAAGCAGGTAACATTTCTGCACATAGCAAAAGCTAAGATTCCTTAAAAAATCGCAAGAAACATTCCTACACATTAAATCATTTAACATTCCAACACATACAAGCAGCTAACATTCAAGCATACACAACCTGTAACAATTACAATACACGACACAGTTAAACTTTCCTAACATAAAAGAATAATCATTGATACATACAGGGGTACTCTTGGTTCAAGTGGTAGCGCGTTTGACACATCTCGAGGACCTAGTTATAAGTTATGTCCAATAACTAGTTATAAGTTATGTGCAATAAGCAAAGTCATGGGTCTGGTCACAGACCGGGCTGCGGGGGCTTTAATCCCCGAAATCCCTCTCCAGGTATACTCCATGGTATTTTTCCAAAATGGTTGGTAATATGTCATTGTGAATTAAGTATACTTTTAGATATTCCTTGAACAACGGTTTCTAAATTTTCTCAGAAGATTTTTTTTCTGCTTCTTTTTAGCACATAATGACGACAGCTATTAAACCAACTACAGGATCTGGGTTCGATCCCACTACAAGTACAAATACAAATCTGTATTCCGAAATTGCTGAACAGGATATATAATAATATGAAGACCCATAGAAAGCATGGAATTTCGGGCAAAACATAGACAATACTGTATTTAAAATTAACAGTTTTATTTTTCAGTATTTTTAAGAATCTAATTAATAGGAACTTAAAAATAGATACAAGTTACATGTTAATTTACATAATAAAATTTTTTTTAAATATATTTTCCTTGTTTTAGCAAGATGAATGGTAATAGTTAAATTATAAATAGTTATATATATAAATATATATATATATTATATATATATATATATATATATATATATATATAGATAGATAGATAGATAGATAGATAGAGATATAAATTTATGTGTATATATAAAACTTTTTATTGTGATTTAGTTAAATGTAAGTTTTCATGAAATTTTTCTATTAAAGACAGATAATACTTGATTACGGAAAAAATGGTTATAACAATGACTATAATTTTTAAAGGGGTGGACCGGTAAGCCAGCGGAAGGTCTCGGTCAGATGACCAAAAGCTCCAGCTGCGGGTCATCATATGATTTAGACCCGCGTCAGGAAACACTCGTCCTGTTTCCTGACAAACTTAGTACCTACCAAGATAATACCTACATATATACTATTTTTTTAGAGGGATGGACTGGTAAGCCAGCGGAAGGCCTTCGTCAGATGACCTAAAGCTTCATCTGTGGGTCATCATATGACTAAGATCCGCGTCAGGAAACACTTATCCTATTTCTTGACAAACCTACTTAAGATAATACTAGGTAAAATTATTATTGCAATAGCTATGTCTGAAAGAAGGGATTGCAACCTATCAAGTAATATATGAAAGTGGTAAGAAAAAACTGAAAGAAGTGCAGGGATGGAACTGGATGAAAATAATCAGATTTCAGGAATTGCTCGAAGTATATTTCTGTCAAAGAATCACATTAAGGTAAGGAGATGCTTTTTAATAGTAGCTTTAAAGCGGTTGGCTGATAGGCAGCCTTTTGAATCTTCAGGCAGAGAATTCCAGACTTTAGGGCCTTGTAAGTGCATTGAGTTTATTCAGGTTGAGATTTGTTCGGATTTTTACCCAGAAGGGTTAGCCATCCAGGAAAACCCAAGAAGGTCAGTGCGTCATCAAGGATTGTCTGTCTTATTGCCCTTGGGGTCCTTTATTGTCCCCCTAGGATGCGACCCACACCAGTCGACTAAACACCCTACTTATTGATAGGTGAATAGGTATAGCAGGTACAAGGAAACATGCCCAATGTTTCTACCCATGCCAGGGATAGAACCACGGACACTCAGTATGTGAGCTGAGTGTGGTGTCAGTCACGAAACAGTACTCTTAGAGAATGCATAATGTCTTAGGCAAGACTCAGCCTACACTATACTTAAAATTCATAATAAAAATAACACTAGTGGTACTAGTTACTAAAATTACAATACAAGATATGAAATAGTATACGCATTTAATAATAAATGGAAGCTGGAAGAAAAAGAACGTGGACTAAACTGGATGAAAACAGCAGTTTCTGCACTTCTTTAACATAGTTTATTGCTGTCAACATTACATTAAGGTAAGGAGGTACTATTTTAACAGTAAATTTGAAGAGTTTGGCAAATAGGAAACCTTCGGAATCTTCAAGCAATGAGTTCCAGATTTTATGGCCTTTTATGCATATCAAAATTTTCACAGGTTGAGTCTGATAATTTGCACAAGAAAACGAAGGTTTTGCAGCAGAGATAGTTTTATGTTTAGGGAATTGTTCAGAAAATTTTTGGGAGGTTTTCTTAGGTTAGGTTCACTTAGGTTTTGGATAGATTATGTTAGATATGTTTAGGTTAAAATTTTTAAAATTTTTAACCTAACCCAACCAAGCTAAACCAAGCCGAACCCAGCCTAGCCTAATAAACCCAACGCAACCGAGCCCTACCCAACCTAGCCAAACATTAATCCTGAGCTAAACTCTTTTTTATGGAAAGCTGCAACAGAACATACAGATACAACAAATATACATACAAATTTGTAATTTTTATGCAGTAAAAATAGTGTAGCTTACATGTGATAAAACACTGGTAGGCGCACAAAAAATATACTTATTGTGCAATGCATTTCGAACAAACTAATCCTAATGCTTACATGTTACTCAAGGTCTAGACACAGACAAGTAGGATTTGTTATGCAGTTAACTACATTCATAAGTACAATAAGAAAGGTAGCTAATGAACAAATGGTCAGCTACATGAATTACATATTATTTCGAACTGATTCAGTGATCTTCAGTTTTGTGGAGTGATTGAACAGAGATGGTGAACTTACAGCAAGTTCCGTAGTTATAATAGAAATACAATGGACAAAATGTTGCATCAGTTACGTTGCTGTCTCAGTTACGTTAAGGAGAGGATGTGCTGTTTAACAATAGCTCTGAATCGATTCGTAGATAAGGGACCTTTCGATGCTTCGGGAAGGGAGTTCCAGATCCTAGAGCCATTTATCTGCATTGAGTTTTTGCATAGGCTGAGTCGGACACGGGGGATGTCAAAGAGGGTTTGGTGTCTTGTGTTATGCCTGTATGTTCTGTTCCAGCTATCAAGGAAAAGTTTCAGAGAGTTTATGTTATAATTTAATGTTCTATATATATAGTAGACAGTAGTACGAGAGCATATTTTCCATATTATGTTCATTTCTGAAGAATGGGTGGGGGGAGGGGGGGTTGGGGTAGCACTGGAATGAATGATAGTCTACACAGAGGCTTTTTGTTGGGTTAATAATTTTAGGTGAATTGGTGCAGAATATCCCCAGGCACAAATACCATAGGTAACGTGAGGGTAAATTAGACCGTGGTATAATGTAAGTAGTATTGTTTGTGGTACATAGTAACGTATCTTGGAGAGGATACCTACTGGTTTGGAGACATTCTTGTCTGTGCTGAATGTGAGTATTAAATTTCAAGGTGTAGACCTAGGAATTTACCCTCGGTGTGACTTTCAATAGGAGAACCGTTAATTATTATATTAAGCTGGATATCTGAAGCTCTGTTTCGAAACAGCAGTAGTATTAGTATTAGTAGTATCAGGTGCTGATGAATGCAGGTAGCAGAGCACTGCGGTCAACCTTTTAATCCATTATTTAGATTTGAACTGTTTACACTGAAGGTATATTGGTTTTGTTCAGTACAGATGATTTCTGACTCCGGGTACTTTCCTCAAGTTCTGTCCCTTCCTTCAATAATAATGTGCTGTATTTCCACCTTCTATGGGTATGCAGATTTGTCCCAATGAATGACTTGTGTATTGTTTGTGCTTTGAATCCTACAATTATTATTATAATCATAACTGAGTGCTAAACCCACAAGGGTCATATAGCGCTGCTTGTCCCACAGGAGCACTGGTATTCCAATATTTTAGTATCCATATTCGTAATGTTTCTCCTGTGTATTCTTTATCACAGCTTGCACTTGGAATGATGTGTACTCTAGTACTGTTGCTAATTGGTGTGTCCAGGTCTGGTAGTGCCACCAACGATCTTTAACTTGACAACTGCTACTAATATTAGTACTGACGTTTGCAGTTTGGAATTAATTAATTACAGTAATTACAAACGAGTGACTCTTTTGATTGTGGAATTACTCTAGTTACGATTTTATATAATTTTTAACTAATTTTTCTTGGACAGCTTTTTACTAGACGTATTTACACAGTCCGTGTATATTTTATACATATATGTGTTTTTCATAGAGATTGATTAAAACTATAGATTTAATTACTTACTGTGGCAGCCCCCTTCCCCATCCACTGTTGACTTGTGCTTAATGTATTGGTAGGTGACCTGTGGGACAGCGGACGCGACACCTTGCCACACCATCCATCACGCACTATACCCAGACTCACTAACCTTCACCATAACAATGAAGGAGTGATGAACACATGTAAAACGTCTTGAGTTATATGCAATGTAGGAAAGAATTGGAATGAATGAGAGAGAGAGAGAGAGAGAGAGAGAGAGAGAGAGAGAGAGAGAGAGAGAGAGAGAAGAGAGAGAGAGAGAGAGAGAGGGGAGAGAGAGAGAGAGAGAGAGAGAGAGAGAGAGAGAGAGAGAGAGAGAGAGAGAGAGAGAGAGAAAGGCAGTCCAGCTGCTGTATGTTTTTTGACATGTCACCCCATTCCTTCCATGCCAAATACGCAAAACTGTAGCAATGAGGAAGTAAAGAGCATATCTAAAGAGTATTGTGTTATACTGTTTTGTAGCTCTGTTCTTATTAACTCTTTAAAACTATCTGACATGCTAGTATGCTGGGAACTAAAATGTGCTCGACGCTTTTGTATACATAATTTTTGTATTTTCAAATTTGTATACTCTTACCGTCTTAAGGTCTCGGCTCAGCTGCTTGAGTTACCTACGACCTCCTCCAGCCTGGGAAGTGACACCCCTGTACCGCATCATGAGTAACAATGCCTCAGCAGCGCATGTAAACAATAAGGCCAGCACTTGTTGTGCTACCATTGTTACTACTGGTTATAATCACAACCATGATTTTTAAAGAGGTGGATCGGTGAACGAGCGGAAGTCGTCGGTCGGATGACCAAAAGGTCCAGCAATGGGTCATCATATGACAAATCCGCGTCAAGAAACACTTGACCCTGTTTCTTGACAAACATTATACATACATGCATATATTCCTGTGCTGCCACTAGCTTCCCTGACAGCAAACAGGGTGAGGAACTGGCTTGAAGATGCCTTTTCTGTATCAGTTTTATTACAATTTCATGGTACTCTACCATGAATTCAAACAAAAGGCGCACCATGTGGATTTAACCTAGTATAACCCAATAAAGTCAGTGTCACCATGTTTCAAAGACTATTACATCTTGAAATAATCGTAACATTTTAAGATTTCATTGTACATGGTGTTGAAAAACAAAAAGTCAATAAAAATAAGAACCATTATTTGTGCCAATTTATCGAGACTAAGGCCAATTTTATAAGGGCTATGGTGTGCTATGCATCTCTGCATGTTGCATGTACCAAATATTTTGAAACACACCTATTGTCCTAACAGCTGTATGACCCTATAGGTTTAGTGCTCGCGTTGATAACGATAATAATAATAGTAATAATAATAACAACAATAATAATAATAATAATAATAATAATAATAATAATAATAATAATAATAATAATAATAACTTCAAACAAAGTAGTTTAGATAATGTTAGACACTGAATTTTTTTTTTTTTTTAAAAATTCGGCACATGGGAATTCCAATTTCATGGTTCACATTAAATAAACAATGTTTAATACTATTTTTAAATAAAAATCAGAGTACTGAATCTAAAATATTGGTTAAAAATTCTTTGGCTTGGAAGTGACCTCATATTAATTAGGTTTCTTTGGGAAAATAGGTTCCGAGTACTGATCGGTGGGCTTACAATGAATTTTCATGAATGCATTAACAATGTCCGTTAGAATTCTATTGGTAATATTAATGTACTTCTGTTTGGTGCCTTGGTGAGTAGATCTGCAGTGTTGCTGGATGGAAAGATTAGATGCCTATTCCAGCCTTTTTTTTTTTCTGGGTGGAAAGGATTTAATGAGCCACCTTCAATTTTGAATGAATTATGATGGAAACTAAAGTGCAGAAAATGCGTTAACTAATTGTGTCAAATTTCTCTTTACAAATTCTGGGCTGCAAACCATTAAGCTCTCAGATAATAAAGTTATCCAAAACTTTTTGTTTTCTGCTATGTTGAGACAAGTACAAAAATTTTTTTAGTAGTGAATTTACAGAAACCATAAATTTCAGCCGTTGCTGTATTGTTCCTTCGTTAACTTCGATAGCGAACTATAGGGAAGGAACAAACATACGCACCTTATGGCATGGAAAGTTGAGAAACTTACTGTTAAAGCAAGAGACAGACAGATCCCGACATCGGTACTGGTAATCATCAGTGATTGGCACAACAGATATTACTGAACAGAATCAAGATTTTTTTCAGCTTAGCAAAACACTTGGTACATACATATTATACAGTAAACACCCAACCTATAATACAAAAATAGGTCAAGCCTAAATAATAGAAAAGCCGAATGCAGTGCTTCACTTCGTGTATCATTAGCAACTGACAACTCTTTGTGATGAAATGTTTGGGAAACAACGACCAAGTCGAAGATTGAACCTTTCGCATATGAACCTTATCAGAACTGTTCTACGCCACCCCGTGGGCGGTATTATTTTTTACAAGTTGTCCCCTAAACTTATATCCAGTTGAAGGATGCATTACTCATTCTCTCTCTTCTTTATTTTCCTCACTTTAGTATTACTGATGCATGCCAAATGGTAGGACGAAACGTTTTACCTGCAAAAATTTAGATGTTTTTTTGCAACATAATGTCCTGACATTATTTGAAAAAACTGTTGTGTGCATGCAACACTAAAGGCGGGTACCGTGACATCCGGAGATACATTTGTCCTTTGGTCAGAGACCTTCCCTAGACCGTTTCTTACCTCCATGCACTCGTGGTGTTGATGTTGGGTTTAATTTGATGTTCATACACAAGTTTCTCCCTAAGTTTTTATTATCCTCAATATTGAATGAAGCATAGTCCCAGTAAAGCTTCTTCTGCCTACTGTCTTTATTATATCCATACAATACATCTTTAAGTGAGATTACATGTGGCTTATTTTCCAAGTGCGATAAGAGACAGAAACAATTTGTTTGTACATACTGCAGAAATTTAGAATGTTTTTTTGCCAACTATTGTCCTTATTGTTAACATATTTTATCAAAAAACTGTTGTGATGGCATGCAAGTGCATAAAGGCTGTGTAAACCCGAGACCTCAGCGGGAAAACATCTTGTAGAAGCCCTCGATGACCGTCTTAGCGGAGGACCTCCGCCGTCGAGACCAGCGGCGTCTTACTACGTCTCTATGCAGCTCGAAGAAGGCTGCTTGAATGGATGGGCCTCCATCACATGCTGATGTCATGAACAGCGATGCCCCCAGTTCTCCAGCTAGTTCTGTGGCTTCGTCTTCACTCACCTCTGCCAGATGACCTGATGAAATGGTAAACAGTTAAATATGTATAGCACATTTATTTAAGTTCCACTTTATATGAATATAATAATATAAATAATAATGATACAGTAACAACAGCAAAAACAACTAACAATAATGGGAAGAAAAAGAATGATGACCCCAATATATTTGCACTTTAGGTAATACCGATTTCGCCCACTTTGAGGTCTATTTGAAGCCACTTCCAGTGCTCAGACTGACTCAATTCCTGGCTATTTAACTAATATGCCTTCTGTTTCATCTACTGATCTCAAAAAAACTACCCATTCACCCTTCAGAACCAAAGGTCAGTAATTTGGCCAATTTTATTTTATTTTCAACAAATTCCAATTTAAAAACTAAAGTCCAAAACAAAAGCTATAAGCATTCACCCACTAAAACAACCTTCCATCTCTTCATTAATGGTTTTACCCAGTTTTTTGCTAATAAAATATAACCAAGAATGTTTGGTCATGGTTTAGGCTGTCCCGATAATTGAAGCTGATAAGGAGAAATCCATAAACAGACTGAGGGGGTCAGGGGGCCATCCGTCCACCCTTTTTTCAGAAAAATTGCTCCCCCATTTTCTTTTGCCAGTTTGATGCCGTTTCATGCCACTTCTGATCGTCAACTGACCCAGACTTTGTCCATGTTAGTAGTATGTCTTCCAGTCTATCAGTTCCCTCAAGAAACAGAAAATAAAACCGTGAAAACCACCCTAGAAAAAAATACCCCAAAGTTATTTTACCCCAAACATAGGGCAAGTTTTTTTTGTGCTGTGCACTCCCATTGCATAGACCTATTTTCTCATGTTTAGGCCAAAAATTTGAGGGTGCCATGAATTATGTGTACTGTCATGTCATGAACTCTGATAGCTAGGGGGTAAAGACTTAATTATAAATATTAATGCATTCACATTTTGTGAGAGTTTATTTTATGTACGTATAAAGAGTTCACACTTGTTGAGCAAACACTGGTCAAAAACCATGGATTTAATGGTTGGAAATCATGAGTGGCCTGGTAAGTGTTTACATTACCGCAACTTGTGGCACACTAAATTTGGGGTGTGTACGGGAGCTCACCTGACACACTATCTAACCCACCGTCCCTCTTGATTAAAACCCAACTTCCCACACTACATACCTACCCTGTGTGTAATAGTATTACAAGTGAAGAGGAAAAATGGGACCGTCAGTACTGTAGTGCTTTTGTTATTGCTGTTTTTTAACTTTCGACTTACTGGACAATCGGCATTACCAGACACCCTCTTCCTCTATTAGTTACTAAAGAAGTTATAAAAGAAGTTAGATCAGTCATTTAAATGAAGGGTTAACTGCATTTCCAATTACTAATAATACTTTAACAAATGATAACAATTTAGCCCAAACCTGTTTTGTTGGGCCTATTATGTTTTGGTTCACCCTTAATTGCAAACAAATTAAATTTCTTACTTGCAACCGTGACTATCCCTTTGTTCAATTATACTTGTTTTCATCATGGCTCCTAAGTGTTACAAGAAAGGGGAATGTGAATGTACTCGTAAGATGTAGTGAAAAATTACAGAAATAGTGAAATTAATAGACATGTCTGCTAAGTGAGACTGCAGCAGCTGATGGAATCAGGTATGATGTAAACTGACGTACAGTGCAAGACGTAAGGAAAAAATTATTGGAAGATTTATAAGTGTGACAACCAGTACAGGAGGCGTTAAGGTGTTTTTTTTTTATTTGTGATCCTTACATACAGCATTTAAGAAGGATAAAGACCCAAATGTGTGGATTGAAGAAAAGCATAATAGGGAAATTTGTAAAAAAGCTTTTCAGAATTTCTTTTAAGTCTTGTTTATGTAGATTATAGAAGTTGGCATTAATTTATAATTTTATATATATATATATATATATATATATATATATATATATATATATATATATATATATATATATATATATATAAACTATTGAACAAGATTAATTTAAGGATAAATACAATACGCAAGGATTTTTGTAATCAATAAAAATACCAATTACAGTCATAGATAAAACTAACCAAGATCAGTTTTGTTGGCAACAATAACACAAGAAAAGTTTGGAGTGTGTCTGGCAGCAGCAACAGCAGCGTGAATGGTAGAGATGGCACTAAAACTTCGTCGGTCGATCAGGCTAAATGCCAGAAGGAAGCCGTCACCCCAGCGAGCGTGGGCCTCGCTTATTTCCCCCTCCTCCTGCACAAACAAAAATTAAGAATATATTCTCAAGAAACGTTACATGATCATAAAAGAAATTACAATTTTCCCTGGATTTAGACAGTTTTGTGTGATTTTATTAACTTGCTTCTAAAGCAAGTCGTGGAGCCAAGAGGAAACGTGTGGTTCTCAGTGTTAAGCTAATGAGCTAATAGAGAAGGTCAAGTCTGGCCTCTCAATAGCACATCTTCGCAGTAATCTTCATCAATTTTCACAGCTACTCTGATTCAGAATAAAAGTTAGTCTGAGTGGCTACTGCTGATCATGGCAATCTGCACCTCATCTCTCCACCATAAAAACGTTAGTAAAATTACTACTACTGCAGATTATAATACCCATATTCTTATGGTCCAGTTGCATTCTGAACCATCAGACCAAGTCCTCTAGTTCAAAGGACAACCTGACAATCATGAAATTTTTTTTTCATAATTTGGAAGTTACGGGCAATCGCCAAGATCGTACACGAATCTCCCCCTCCCCACTTTATTAGTCCATTAATAAGAGGGTTCACTGTATTTGCATATACTAGAGTTTATGTTGTGAAAGACTTGTTAAAATATCGCTACAAAAGATAAGGGCAGGTGTCCTGTATTCGATTTAAAAGTTGGAAAGAATGTTAAGCCATTTCTTTTAAAATACATATTAAGAAACAAAAAAAAGTAAAATCATCAAATGCACTCAGATTAAAAAAGCTTTTTTCTAGCCTTCCTCATAGCAAAATCATCCAAAAGTTCATCAAAATTTGTCTGTCTAAGTTTGTCACTCTCAATGCATATTGTGGAAAATTGCATTTAGCTGAATGTATCATTATATACATAACAGTAAATGAACAAAGATAATTATTATTTATCAGTTAGACAAGTAGGAATTTGGGACACCTAGGTCGCAAAAAATACCCCCCTTCGATACCTACCACTGTCATACCACAAGTTGCTCTGGACCTATTAATTAAATGAAATATACATACACCAGGAATGCTGGTAAATATATAAATTTGTGGACTGTATATTAAATTAAAAAATGATTATATATAAATACACATACACATAACAGAAGGAGAATATATCTTAATCATAACACTCACCAATTTGACTGGATATTAAGTTGTATCATACTCAGAAAAACCTCACTAAATTTATGAAAACACTGGCCAGAATTATACACAAACCTAGAGAGCTTATCTGAGGTTCCTGGAGTTGTCTTGTCCAGACGTCTGATATCTCAAGTTATGCAGGAATGCACATCCAACAAATTCGCCTCCTATTTGAGAGGTGTCAATCCAATTTTAACCTCTAGAGCACGAAAAATTCTTCCCATTACATTAACGTTGTATCCAATTGAAAAACCACAAAATGGCGACTGACTCCCCCAGCCGCAGGTTTCACATTTTCGATATCATACTTCTTTTAAAAATACAATATAGGCATCTATTTACCTATAAATTACCGTATTTCCGGAAAATATATACAGTATTTTCCACACATATAATGCTCAGTGTGGACAATCTTTGTTGAGACATTGTTGCTCTCTCTCTCCTCGAGCAGTTAGTGACCATTAGGCTAAGAAATAACCGCAAGATTGCTTCCACATTAGGGAAGGCCATTTGAATTTTTTCCTTGTATATAATTTGATAAAGGCCTGTATGAGAGTGACTGCTCTTCTGTAGGCCTATGACTTTGTCTCACGCACAAGTGAAAGTGCAAAAGTTCATCAATAAGTTACAGGTGAACATCTTCTGGGTTATGTTGTCATCAACAGTTCAACACCTTGCTGAGTTCCTTGCTTAGATGCTGTCAGATTAGCAAAAAAGGAAAGCATTTGTACACAGTAGCTCTTCTTAAATTACCTGCAAGTGCATCTAGTATAGGAACAAAGGATTTTATCCTAAACTTATCTCGTGAAGAGAGTTCATCTACGGCATCAGGACCAGGTGCACTTCCCTCTTTTCCTCGCCGTTTCCTTACTCTTTGTCTTCTTGTGACAGTTCTCTAGTTAACATTTAGCAAGGTGAGTTTTGCTTGTTGTTCAAGCTCATCGAAATCTCTAATTCTGCTTAAATGATCCTGAAGTGAACTGTACAAACATGCACAAATACTCAATACTCTTATTTCTGAATGACTCTGCTGACCTTGTGAATATGACCTAGACACGGGTCCAGAAATGCAGCATAAACACAAATTCCAGTTTTTCTTGCATAAGATTGTTAGCTTGAAACCTAATATCAACCTTCTCATTAACATTAGAGTACAAATGACTGAGGGGCCTCAGTCAACTTATCAATCTCACTGCTTTCCTGGAAGAACAAAATCAATACAGAAATCAATGCTTGTGTCGAGATATTGGCTTAAAACAGTATTATTAAGAAATGGAATTCAAGGAACATTACTGAAGGGTCGTTTAGAGACTACAGTGCGTTATGATAGCATGTGTAAGAAAGGCCTATGACAGTATCAAAAATATTATACACCTGGCTTTAGGCTTCAGCCTGCCAAGCCTATAGGTAAATCCAGCACTGTCTGTATCAGTAGCAAGCTGACCCGTATCGCATAAAGACGTACCTTGTGGGTTCTCTGTGAACGGAATCAACCATGCCCTTACTGGAGCAGTTTAAGTATTATTATTTTGTCATCATTATCGTTATTATTATTATTATGAGTGTGGGGGAGGTGTGTGAGACAGTGGGTAGAATGAAAGAGGGTAAAGCAGCTGGGACTGATGGGATAAAGACAGCAATGCTAAAAGCAGGGAAGAGGGATATAGTTTTGGAGTGGTTGGTGTTTTTATTTAATAAATGCATGGAAGAGGGTAAGGTACCTAGGGATTGTCAGAGAGCATGCATAGCTCCTTTGTATAGACAAAGGGGACAAAAAAGAGTAAAAATTTTAGGGGAATAAATCTGTTGAGTATACCTAGTAAAGTGTATGGTAGAATTATTGAAGGAATAAAGAATTGTGTCTGAAATTTATTTTTTTTTGGTTTGTCGTTATTCACAAACCCTTCCCCTTACAAGCAAACTTTTAACTATTTGTGACTACCGCTCCCTACAATTTCAAAGACCCAGCTTATTTTACCCCTAAAGGGTTACTACTGACCTGACCAGCAGTGTCGTAGATGTGCATGACAGCCGGATCATCATCAACTGTAGTATGATGACGGTACGCAGCTTCAAGTGTTGGGTCATACTCCCAGATAAATCTCCCAGTTAGCAGCCGCACCACTAGAGCTACAACCAAACAAGCAAAATCAGTTGAATCACCATAACTTTAACTAAATAATTTCCTCTATTACTAACTGGATAATATTTGCATGGTTGGTGCTCTGTCTTAATAGACATTTTTGTTAAGCCTTGCTGTGGGTAAATCATTTTGGGTATTGTGACATCATGATCTTGGATAACTTTTCTCATTGTCCTTTTACTGGGTACCTGACCATTCTGGTGTTCAGGGCAGCAAACTTGCAAAGTCCTTTGTATGTTTCAGACCTCTGGACTTTTGAGTTTCTAACAGTAAGTTTTCTTTTTTCCAACCATTTCCCAACTTTGTTTTGCAATTTTGAGATCCAAGCTATTAACTAACAAACTGATTTTAATCAAACTCACAATAGTATTACAGGCTATCCTCTTCACTAATGTCGGTTATGAAAGCCACTCTTGACTGTATGATGGACACATGAGGTTTACACATGGACATCTCATGTCGTGCTGACAATCAAGCATCTTTTGATTGTCGTGTTTGTCAAAGAGCACCTAGAGTTCATTTTTGACCTCTCCTTCAATGCCCTTTTGTTCTCTGACTGCCCTCCTCTCAGAAAATACAAGATTCATTCTATGATTTGTTAAATGTTTAATGTTAAATGAATTAACTATGACCTCTGGCACATAACCTCATCTTCCATATTTTTTCCCTTATTATGTGCTGAATGACCTATACACTTTTAACACTTTTATGAATATAATATAGCTTCATCTGTTAATATAAAACACAAAGAATGGATTTTACTTGCCAGATTTACCAACTGCTGGAGCTCCAAGTACAACGAGTCGGGAGTCAGAGGTGTTCTTCTTATGGCCAGATGAAGATGTGAAGGTAGGGGGTCCTGACCAAGGAGAGAGGTGTGTGGTGCTGCTGCTGGTGGCGGTGGTTGTAGTAGGGGTTGTGGTACGTGTAGTGCTGGTGGCTGTGGTTGTAGTAGGGGTAGTGGTACGTGTAGTGTTGGTGTTTGGAATGCGAGGGGTGTTAGAACCTGTGCATGCAGAAGTGGTGACAGTGTTGGTACTACAGTTATTAAGACTGGTGATGGGAGTTGTGTTTATAGTGTTGGAGGATGATAGTAAGGTGGAAGTAAGCATTGCCCTGGTGGTAGTTAAGGAGGTAGTGGTGGTGCTAGCCTCTGTGGTTACTGTGGTAGGCATAGCTGTAGAAATGGTGGTAGTGACCGCCATTGGGGTAGACATAACAGTAGCTGGGATAATAGGCGAAGATGACTGGGCAATTCTTGCCTGGCTTGAGGTTTAGGAACCACTGGTGGTGGCGGTGTGAGGAGCATTGTAAGTGGGTGCACCACTGTCAAGCTCCACAGTGGTGAGGCAGGCGGTAAGTGCTTGTGGCAATGGATATGGCGGTTGCAGAAGTACGTTGAGATAGAAGATGGCAGTGATAATTATATAAACAGAAGTGGTGACAGTGACCAAGTAGATAATAACATTGTGGGTGGTGAGGGCTGTGGCTAGGTGAGTTGTGTAGTGGTGATGATGGTATATATAAGCTGGAAGAAGGGTTTGTGGTGGCTCTGTATATCGCTCTTCCTTCTGTATCCTGCAAAATGCAAAATTCTTGCATTATTATAACTGCATGCTGATGATGAATTTGGAATTGATACACAATTATGCAATTTGAATATGCCAGTTGGGGTGCGAGTATGCTTAAGGAGCACGTAAGTTCCCTTGTCTTCTAATAATATGTTTAGTTTTCCACTATAATCTATCTTGTCCATAATTACTATCGCATATGCTTTGTCTGCTTTCGTAAGGTGAAGTCTAGAATCTATCCTTAATCCATGGTATGACTTAACAAATCTTTGAGGACATTTGTGTTGCAGAGGTCTGAGCAAAGCTCAGAGAGGCTACAGTATACAAACAGTGGGGGGGAAATGTAGAATGAGCCAAAAAATGTTAGGTACATGCCTTGTGGTAAGCCACCAAGAAACAGTACCACCAGTGTAGGTTTGTGAGCTGAATTCTACACCAAGTGACTCCTCGATTTTGTACCCGCGCTGTCGACAAACCATGTGATGTCCAGAGGTGTGATGCAATCACATGAGAGTGCAACATAAACAGCCAATAGCGACAACAAGACTTCCACTTCAACCCAAAACAAAAATAAGCTATTACTAATACTACTACTGCTAATAATAATACTTATAATACTAATATATAATACTTAATAATACTAATAATAATACTGCTAATTACATTCCTTTTAATAATACCAACTCAACTCCAAATCTTCCAATTTCTCTAACGATTTCTCCAAAAAACACAAAAGATGCCACAATCTTCAATATCTAAACCACGACAACAATCACTATCCCACACATTCGTCTTAACCATTTTAACAAGACGTGGAAATTTCCACCGTTCACCAATATAATGCACCAAACAGTTCATTATGTTAGAAAAACTAAAATGCCTCATAGCTCAGTGGTAGAGCGTTCTGCTCACACTCGAAAGGACATGGACTCGAATACGGTGCTAGTCAAGAGTATAGGCAAGTCTCTTCACACCTATTGCAATTATTCACTTGACTATAAATTGTACCTAGGAGTTAGTGGGCTGTTGTGGATGGTATCCTACAAAAGAGTATCGAAGAGTACCCAACAGATATAAGCCACAGTACTTCACTTACTTGGTAAATAACTCCCTGAGGTAAATAATAATCTAAAAAAAAAGTGTTTCTTCTTCAAGTTTATTACTGTGTGTCAAGCTGGACGATCCGAATGGGGAAAACCCCAACCACCCTGCATAAAAACCTTTTACCTGTCACTTTTATAATTTTTTTACTGTCATTAAAAATCCTTTAGACTATGACCTTTTTTTTTACCTGCAGGGGGCCCCCCATTCTCCGGTCCCCCCCGCCTCTTCTGCTTTGGTCGTTGGTTTTTTGTTTTCGGGGGGGGGGGGGGGGGGGGGGGGTTTTTTTGGTGTTGTTTTTGGGGGTGGTTTTTTGGTATTGTATGGTTTTTAAGGATGTTTGTTTTGTTTCCCCACCCAAAACTTCCTGTCCCTGATACTTTAATTTTCCAAAAACATTTTTTACCCGGTTTCAAAAGCCCCTTTTGGGATTTGGATTTTAAAGGGGGGGCTTCGATCCAAAAAAAAGGCTTATCTATGTTTTTTGGGATTGAACCGTATCAAACAATGGACAAGGGTGGATTTATCCATTGACCAGCCTAGGCTGTTTGGCTTGTCGAAAATTCCGTTTCCCATTTTTCCTCCTTTTACAATAATGTCAGTATAGCTACAGAATTCCCTTATACGTATACTTGTGTAGTATATTGTAGATCATATCATCCATATATATATTTAGGCTCCCTGGTGAGTAGGCCTGGGATCTTCAGTCAACTTGGCGTCCACCAGGACGCTGACATGTCCCTAGGGGAGCTCTCCATCGGGCTGCTAACGGAGTCACTGGCTTCTTGGACCTCTTGGGGAGGGTCGATGGTGCTCGTGCAAGCAGCAGATCCCGGGGCAACTTGCTGCTGTTTGCAATGGCTGTCTACCGAGGAGAGACAGGCACCTAGCAACATCTGTTGTTGGGGCAATGGATGAATTCCCTGCTATGTTTCTTAACTGCTCATTACTCTGTAATTTGTCTATGATTGTAATCATGTGATAACGTGTTTATCAACCCTGTTTGGGCTCTCCCCCTTCACACTCTGCAATATAGTGTTACCATCCAACAACTGTGTTTATCTCCAACCTTCATATCTCCTACGAACCCCCACTACAATAATACCATGACGAATATTAGAAGGTAAAGAGGGTTGAAAACATAGAGCAAGAGAGAGAAATGTTGGTAGGAGGGTAGCAAGTGATAAATATCTCTCTGATATATGCTGACAGGTGGTGAATAGGTAACAGGCAGCCTTAATGAGCCTCGTGTAGTCGATAGGTTTTAAACCTAATAAAATAATCAGGAAGATTATGGATGGTAGGGACGCTATGATAGGCTAGTCAATAGAACAATAAGCTGGAGAAGGCAACAGCAAGCTAGAGTTGGCAAAGCAACAAAACAGAGAAGGCAGAACAGTAAGCTGAAGACAAGAGAACTGTCAAATAGAATCGGCAGAACAATAAGCTAGAAAAGAAAATAGCAAATTAGAGCCGGCAGGACAATAAACTAGAAGTAGAAAAGTAAGCCAGAGATGGTAAACAGAGAGCTAGAAACAGCAGAACAGTGAACTAGAGACAGCAGAACAGTAAACTAGAAATGACAATATAATGAGCTAGAGAGGGCGGTATAGTAAACTAGAAGTGGCAGAACAGCGAGTTAGAGACGGCACAACAGTTAGAAATAACAGAACAGTAAGCTAGAGACGGTAAAACACAAGAGAGTGCTGGAGATGGCTCCAAATTCATCCTATTCCCTATTTGTAGGCATCATAACAGAAAACTGTTTAAAATGAGCTGAGGTAGGTTACAACTCTTACCTTGTAAATTAAAGTAGGAACTCTTAACCTAACCCTAGAAAAAAACAGTGTAAAAGACAAAGAAAGAGAGAGAGAGAGAGAGAGAGAGAGAGAGAGAGAGAGAGAGAGAGAGAGAGAGAGAGAGAGAGAGAGAGAGAGAGAGAGAGACAGACAGAGAGAAATTGAGGGATGATTGTATTGGGAGGGATTGATAGATAGATAAGGAGAGATGGAAGGGGTTGGGAGGAAGAAGAGGTTAGCTGGAGAGCTGTAGGTCCGTGTCTCGGGTGTCACCTTGCAATATTCATACTTTAAGGGCGACAGGCGATCGCGCCTTACTGAGCACCTGATGTCATACACTCTATGACCAATTATTCTGCTCTCTTGAACCATATTTTTGTTTCTAATATTCTATCCTGCCTCTCCTTTTATATCGATCCTTTTGTAGCTCATTGTTCTGCCTTCTCTAGTTCCCTGCTCTACCTTTTTAGTTCACTGTTCTGCCTTCTCTAGTTCACTGTTCTGCCATCTCTAGTTCATTGTTCTGTCATCTCTAGTTCACTGTTTTGTCATCTCTAGTTCATTGTTCTGTCATCTCTAGCTCATTGTTGTCATCTCTAGTTTATTGTCATCTCCAGTTCATTGTTCTGTCACCTCTTGTTTACTATTCTGTCATCTTTAGTATATTGTTCTGTCATCTCCACCTCATTGTTATGTCATCTCTAGTTCACTGTTCTGTCACCTCTATGCCTCCTCAGTGATTATCTTTAAGGTAGATCTGTAATAATAGTTCTCAACCGGATAGAGTCAGTAAGGCAATCTATTGGTGCAGGTGTTCCACAGGGAAGTGTGCTGGGGCTATTGTTATGGAATGTCTACTTCAATGACCTCCTTCATCTCATCCCAGGCGATTGTTCTCTGACATTCGCTCATCCAAGAGAGTAAATACCAGCTGCTCTAAGATATATCAATCACCAGCTTACAGCTATGTCAGCCTGGGGATAACAATGGCAGGTCGCATTTGCTCCTGAGAAAACACAGAGGATGACGGTTTCTAGGCACAAAGATGGTAATGCTTGAGAAGCGTTAAGAATAAATGGGAGAGTGTTGGTACCTGGGGAAGAATATGATATCCTTTGGGGTGAAATTTGACTCCAGACTGACTATGAAGAACCACGTTGTAAATATTGCAAACAAAATATCCAGGAAACTTAGAGCACTTAGACGTATCTCACATCCGCTCAACAGTACAGGTTGCAAGATTCTGTACGAGACACAAGTACACTCATATCGTGAGAATGCTCCACTTTCTTGGACTGCCTTCTTCTCCCCCCCCCGTCTCATCTGCGACTTCTTAACGGAAAAGAGAACAGAGCAAGACGATTCATTTCTCGTCTGGACCCAGCCTGGAGAGTTCTGTCATTTCAGCAGAGCCTTTGACACCGGAGGGACGTGGGTGGCCTTACCTGGAGGTTATTCCGGGGATCAACGCCCCCGCGGCCCGGTCCATGATCAGGCCTCCCGATGGATCAGGGCCTGATCAACTAGGCTGTTACTGCTGGCCGCACGCAGTCCAACGTACGAGCCACAGCCCGGCTGATCCGGCACTGACTTTAGGTATCTGTCCAGCTCTCTCTTGAAGGCAGCCAGGGGTTTATTGGCAATTCCCCTAATGCTTGATGGGAGGCTGTTGAACAGTTTTGGGCCCCGGACACTTATGGTGTTTTCTCTTAGTGTACCAATGGCGCCCCTACTTTTTATTGGCGGCATTTTGCATCGCCTGCCCAGTCTTTTACTTTCGTAGGGAGTGATTTCTGTGCAGATTTGGGACCATTCCTTCCAAGATTTTTCCAAGTTTAGATTATGATATATCTCTCCCTCCTGCGTTTCCAACGAGTACAAGTCAAGTGCTTCCAAGCGTTCCCAGTAGTTAAGGTGCTTGACAGAACTTATACGTGCAGTAAAGGATCTCGTACACTCTCTAGATCTGCGATTTCACCTGCTTTGAATGGAGATGTTAATGTACAGCAGTATTCCAGCCTAGAGAGAACAAGTGATTTGAAAAGGATCATGGGCTTGGGATCTCTCGTTTTGAAAGTTCTCATTATCCCCCCTTCATTTTTCTTGC